AACTGATGGCTATGCTCACTAATGAGGTGTCTCTGACTTCATTCGTGAATTTCGTCTGTATGTCTCCTAAATCTATATACTTTCCATTTCCATCCTTGAAATGGATACTAGACAGTGGGGCGTAGGATCACATGACCCCCACCTCGACTATATTGTCTCAAAGACAAATGACTCATGCTGAAGATAAGTTTGTCCGATTACCTGATGGATCTACATTGCCAGTAACCCATCATGGTTTGGTTTTACTGGCACAGACATTGATCGACAATGTCGTCTTATGTGTTTCAAACTTCCATGTTATCTCTTGTCTATTAGTAAACTTACTTCACAATTGGATTGTTCTGTGAGTATTTTCTTCTAGTTTCTATATGCTACAGGGCCATGCCTCCAAGAGGTCGATTGGTCTAGGTAGGCTTCATCAAGGAGTATACCATGTTCAGTGCCATTTCCTCAATAAAACTGACACATGCAATAGCTACTGCTGTGTCTTCTTTAGATTACATTCTTTGGCATTGTCAAATGGGACATGCTGCTCCATCCCGCATCACCACCATCTTTGGTTTTTAACCTTCTGAGAACAATATGTCCCGTGAAACGTGTCATCGAGCCAACTAGCTCGCTTACCATTTCAGCACTTCCTAGGCAACTTTAGCTTTTGAGCTGCTACACATTGACATTTAGGGTGGCTACAGAAAAACCTCAAATTTTGGAACTCATTTTTTTTGTTACCATTGTTGATGATCGCAGTAGGTGTACATGGGTCTTCTTAATGCAGCACAAATATGAGACCTACACCAACTTTATCATATTTTATCAAATGGTTTCAAGTATGAGACCTACACCACCTTTGGCCTTTCAATGGGGGACTTCGATTCTGTAATGGTTTTTTATCATGAAATGGAAGAGGAGTTGGAAATTCATCCTCATGCTTATAGTTTAGTGATGTGTGTGCTCTGTAAGGATGGTAGACCTTCTAGAATTTTATGTACCTGGGAATAGGTAAGAGTTTGACTCTCTTTGGATCCTTTTGGTTAGGGGTGTTCACGGGTCGGGTTGGGTTATTTTGAATCATTTTTTTCAATTGATCCGATCTAATCGATTTACTTATTGATTAAACCGAAATCGATCCAAACATAAAAGGTCGGTTTAGTCGGTTTTTATATATATTTTAAACTAAAATATCTATTTATATTTAAGTTTATTTCTTTTTAGTTTTTATGCAAAACCAAAATATATATTTAAATCGATTAGTTTTTTATGTAAATTTGATTTTTTTTGTCAATATATATATTAAAATTTATACAAAACTGAATTAAATATTATACTATTATATTATATTTGTATTGGTTTTATGTTTTTAGTTTTTATCATAAATAACTATTTTTTTTCAATGTTCAAACAAAACACAAATAAAATATATTCATATTTAACATATAGGGTAGGGACTAATTAATAATTACTTAAAAATATAGAATCAGTTCGGTTTGATTTGATATATTAAAATCGAAACCTAACGGATTTTTCAGTTTATTTTCTCATACAAACTGAAACCGATCAATGATTTTGAAAAACTGATCAACTCAGGTCTGGCTGGGTCGGTTTAATTGGTTTGACATTTAATGTAAACAGCCCTACTTTTGGTTGCCTCTAAGCAATCCCTTCATCATTTCTTGACATAGGCTCACTGTTTTGGTTCAAAAACAGGACCAGAGTGGAGATACCACGAGAAAGCTTCACTGATCTACCGAAGAACAGTACCTGGGGAGCAACTTTTTCCTTGGATTTCTCTGGAACGCCTCTCTTTGAAGACTTTACCTTTCATCGTTCTACCACGAAATAGACTTCCCAGTTGCAGTTGCAACTCTCTTTGCAAGGCACCAGGTATGCCCTGTTTTGTTTTTTCTCTTAAAAGCAATATTTTAACTCGATATATTGTCTGATATATTAGTTTGGATCTTAGAAGTCTGTACTTTTTTCTGTAAAACTGATTTATTATAATTTTCATGGAGTTTAAATCTACTGTTCGCTCAAGAACGAACACTGTAGACATATATTTGGGTGGGGAAGGCGAACTAGCGTATCAGGTATATAGGTCGGATTGCTATATCTACCCACTTCATATCCGGTCCATTTAACTGAAGCTATATGCCTTATGTTAAATGGATCGGATGCGATGCGGATATGATCATGAAGAAGACAATAAAGTGGATAGGGTATGGTCGGGTTGGTAGACTTATCCATATCATACCCGGTCGATCGGATACGATGCGGATATGATCGTAATCCGATCCATATTCAATCCTTTTATTGTCGTGTTAAATTTTAAATAATTTTTTCTTATAAATACAGTTACCGTATTTTTAATTTTTTTTTGTAAGTTGGTAAATATCGTTACCAATGATTAATTACCGACATATTTGTATTAACTAATATTCAATCCATATTGATAAATACTGTTATTCATACTGCTATTAATTAACTAATCTGACCCATATTCAATACATATATATGGTTAGTAATAAATACTATTATTAATAAAAGTACAGTATTTTTACTAATAAATACTGTTATTAATAGATAACAGAATTTATTTTTGGTAATTTTCAAAGTATTTTGGGTAAATACTGTTTGAGTATTTTTAAAGTCTTTTGGTAAAATTTAAAAATATTTTTACTAATAAATAGTGATAAGAAATGGAAGTATAACAAATACTGATTTTTTTTTGCAATTATTAACTGAAGAAATAATATAACAGTATTTATTTTTTTGTTATTTTTAAATTAATTTTGAAAATTTTGTGTAGCTTTAGTAATTTTTAATGCATTTTTGGTAATTTTAAAGTAAATACTATTAACAAACACAAATCCAATAAATACTGTTGATTAATAGTAAATTACAAAAAATTATGATGATTATTATATAATACTAAAAATAACGGTAAAATTTACCAAAAATAAGAGTAGAAATTACCAAATCTCTTTTTAATAATAAATATCGTTAATAAAGTAAGAGTAAACATTACCAAAAATATTTTAATAATAAATATTGTTGAAAAAATTACCATAAATACTTTACTTTTTGGAAACTATTAATTTAAAAAAATAATATAACAGTATTTATTTTTGGTTACTTTTAAATTATTTTTGGTAAATTTGGGTAATATTTTTAAGTATTTTTGATAATTTTTAAAGTAAACGCTGTTAATAAACACAAATCCAATAAATCCTGTTAATTAATTGTAAAAATTACCAAAAATTACAAAAACTATTAATACAAAGGTTCAAAATATCGATACACCCGATACATCCTCTATAGGGGCGTATTGGGCTATATCAGTACTTTTTTACTTTTTTATTTTCTTTTCAAAACCGGTTCAGGGGACGGTTTAAGGCTCCTCTACCCCCCTGAGCCGGTCAGAACCCCGATACACCCTTTGTAGAGGCGTATCGGGAAGCTCTCGAAATGATACGTATTGGCCGATATGGGCCGATACGCATCAATACTTTGAAACTTGATTAATACTAAAATTTATAGACATGATGAAGCTAAAGTCAAGAGTAATTTTGTCATGAAAAATATTTAATAAGCTTGATTGGCCATTCATGGGTAATTTGGTCATGTAAAATACTTAAATGCTTATGTGAACAATTTACATTAATAACCACTAATGGTAAATTAACAAAATTTAACAGAATGTGAGTTTTAGACAATAAAATACACTGATATGGTGCTTCTCTAGAGGTTTTGAAAAAAAAATAAAAATAAAATCATGTTGCATATAAGAGAAATGCTAAAAAGTCATGATGATTTTTAGATAATATCCCAAAAATTGAATATATTAACTTCACTAATTAGTAATAATTAAGAATAATTAATTAATCAGCATTAATTAATTTTTGTTAGTTTTGCATAATTAACAGTAATTACATTAGTTATTCAAATTAGAGTGCAAGTTAATTGTGGTTTAACTAGGAATGATCGTGGGTAGGCCCGAGTGTCCTAGGGTTCAACTTGCTTCACATTTCTTAATCAAAAGCTCGTTCATCGCACTGATCCCCACTAGTAGACAGTATTGTTTTGTATAATATATATAGATAGGATTGTGGAATTGGGGCTAAGTCTACGCTGACCCAGACCAATCCCAACTCAACAGCACACTACCAATGCGTGAGATGGACAAGAATGATTACTATGAAATTCACAGTAGGGCCACAGTTAATAGATTTATCAAACGTGGAAGCTTTCCCCATCATTGTGTACAGTCAAACCAATGGGCTTCCTATAATGGCAGCACTGAAAGGATTCTATTGGCCCATGAGCAATACCAACAACCGAACAGATATTGCAAATGATGGGTCATCAACAATCCCAACAGCCCAAGTACATAGCTAAAATTTGTTCAAAATCAATGGAATAGAAGTTATGTAAGCTAATACAACAAAACAATATTTCCTTTTCATGTGAAGGATATACGATAATAATAATAATACTTTAGGGTTTAAAGATGTAAAGATCTATTAAGAATGAATTCACCCCATATGGACAACAAAACAATATTTCCTTTTCATGTGAAGGATATACAATAATAATAAATAATACTTTAGGGTTTAAAGATGTAAAAATCTATTAAGAATGAATTCATCCCATATGGCTCACATGGACTCATTAGCTGTCTCAGACAATTGTGCTTCCATATTAAAATGCTCACTGTCATTTACTTCTGCAAGAGGTTAAAGATGCCAACTCATACTACAGATCTAAGACAAATCTCTGAAATGGGACGCTCGCAGAGATTTACATGACCCACTTCAGTGACCAGTCACCATGATTGGATGACTCTAGATCTTGGTGCTTGAGATTCTATAATCAAGGGGTTTGCATCATTCACTTGTATCTATCTGCATGAACGACCAGAAAAGTTCTCTGTGGACCCTAGACAAGATGGGTCTTGGTGCTCTGCGTGATGGAAGCATATTAAGTGTGAAGATTGCTTGGAAGTGGACTCTAAAACTTTCCCACTCTTGCAAAACTCCAATCATCCATGATATGCAGACGTGGAAAAGACGTGTAATCAGCCAATACCTGCATCTGCACCAAATAACATCTCAGACAAGAACAGACTACCTAGATAGCTCTTTCACATATCACGGCCAATATATCAATAGAGATTAGAGAAATTTGAGGGTGACTCTTTCTCTCTCTCTCTCTCTCTGTATGTGGCTAGATTTATGTTTTTATGCTTAGAAAGTTGGTCTGTCAAAGCTTGGAAATAGACGGATCTTGCTTCAAGGAATCATGGGTGCCTTCGAGGATTTGAAACCTGTTATAGCTTTGGTAGTATTGCAGTTTACCTATGCTGGGCTTTCTATATCCACTAGATATGCTCTGTTACAAGGAATGAGTCCCAGGGTGTTCATAGTTTACAGGCAGGCTATAGCTGCTTTGGTCATTGCACCTATAGCTTACTTCTCTCAAAGGTTGGTGCATCATCTCTCTCTCTCTCTCTCTCTCTCTCCCTCTCTCCCTCTCTCTCTCTCTCTCTCTCATATGATTGAGTGGATATGTGTTGACAGGGCAATGAGAAGTAGGTCTTCTTTAGGGATAAGGAGCTTTTCTTTGATATTTATTGCTTCTCTTATTGGGTGAGTTTATATATAGATTGTTTTTCATAATTCATTCATAAAAGGTGTTTGCTCTATATGTTGATGACTCGTATTTTGCATCCTTCGACAGTGTAACAATCAATCAGAACGTCTATTTTGAAGGTCTATACATGGCCTCTGCATCAATAGCAAGTGCAATGGGTAATCTACTCCCTGCAGTCACCTTTCTGATCGCAGCCATTTTGGGGTAAATTGCTCAAGACCCATATCTATAATTGGCTCTGCAATTGATTGATGACTTCTGAGGAAATATGAAAGGGATTTCAATTCTAGTGAATGATTGAAGTAATCTTAGTGGGAATAAACTCTGTATGTGTGTTTGTGTGTGTGAATATCAGTTGTCTGATTTCATATCAAGTGGGAAATTGAGAAGTCATTTTGGTAGATCCCAAATCAAGTTCAAGGCTAAGTCAAACCAGTTAACACTACAGACCTCAAATTCTTTGTTGTGTCTCCCTGACCCAGCTTAATTTGCTTCAAGAGTAAAATCTCTGTTCTAGTCTTGATCCTAGGCCATCTAAAAATTAGTGGGCTATTAAAATTATCAAAGAAAAAAAAAGAATTTTGGGTTCATTAACTCGGGCTTGCTACCAGTTATGCAGAAATTAAAACAGGTCTGAGGTCAATTTTGCTGCTTTGGACTATCCTCATTTAATCAAATACAATTTTAAAAATTCAGATGAGAGAATGCACATTTTTCATCTTTCTTCAGACCCTACTAAAACTTGAACAAGAAATTGGATGTCCTTTAGATCTATGGGAAGATAAACATGTTTTATGCTTGGACTTTAGCTCACCAAAAGCTATAATTACAAAGTAGATCTCTAGATTCCAGGAACTAACACTCTATCCTGTTCTGTAAATTGTTCAGATTAGAAAAAGTTGACATAAGAAGCTTTAGAACAATTGCAAAGGTGGTAGGAACACTTGTCTGTGTTGGAGGAGCCTTATCCATTGCATTGATCAAAGGGCCAAAGCTGCTTCATGCCACACAGCCAACCCCTGTTTCGCACTCGGGAGGTGAGAATTGGCTGATGGGTTGTCTCCTTCTCTTTGGAAGCAGTTGTTGCTGGTCAATTTGGCTCATTTTGCAGGTATCTTGAATTCAAAATTCTTCAACTGTTCAAGTATTTGGATCACTGAATGCATTTTGGATCTAATAATCAGGTTCCCATGTCTGCAAGCTATCCTGACCACGTATCCTTATCAGCTTGGATGTGTTTCTTTGGGGCATTACAATCAGCAATCCTGGCTTTCATCCTAGAACCAGACCTTACAGTATGGAAACTGCACTCAAGTTTTGAACTTCTATGCTGCTTTTATGCAGTAAGTATTTATTTTCATAGTTCAAATAAGTTACCTTTTCAGTTGCTTATTAAAATGTTTGCATTGAGAGATTTCTTTCCTATGAACTTGATGCAACAGGGTATTGTAGGATCTGCTGCATCTTTCTATATTCAATCCTGGTGCATTTCACGCCGAGGCCCACTCTTCTCTGCAATGTTCAATCCTTTGGGAACAGTTATAATAACCGTCTTTGCTTGCTTGCTTCTTCATGAAAAACTCTACGTTGGAAGGTAATAGGTCTCAAGGCCTCAATTGAAGTCAAACAGTACAATTCTATCAGGATCATTTTTCTTTCAGGGGTCTAATGTTAGCCTCTGCTAAATTGCTACTGTTTGCATTCAGCATGGCAGGATCTGTTGCTGTAGTGGTTGGTCTATATGCTGTCCTCTGGAGTAAAGCTAAGGATCTTGAAGAGATGGAACAAAAGAAGGGTCCAAGAGATAATCCTTCAAAGATGGTAACAGTGGTGATAGATGAAGATGAATCATTGGAGAAGAGCTGCAAAACAGATCTGAAGGAACCCCTTTTGAATGGGAAATCATCTGATGGCAATGGAAGTGAAGGCATTAGCAGATGATTATTCTTTTTTATTGGGGAATTGGAGGAATTGGAGGCTCCAGTGAGATGTTTTGGTTGGTCTGTAACTGTATCTGATATGGTCAAGAGAGTCCATTTGAAAACGATGGTCTTCTTACTTCTCTAGTTAAGTGCAGAAGTGTCTTCCTGTGTTGGTTTATATATCAATGTTTTAAAAACCGACCTGGAATAGAAACCACTTTGGCCACTGGTTTCTGGGTCAACAGTTAGACCATCTGGTTTAAATAGATAAGCCCATGACATTTTAAAAATTTTATAACTAAAATAAAAATTTGGCCCAAAAACCATTGTCAGACAAGTTGACAATTTGAACGCTTGAATCAGAAGTTCACATCATGCCCTCCCAATGGCTAGTACTGGAGATGTTCTTCACAATGCACACTGAGATGTGTACGTGGGGTGCCTGCGGGGTGCGCCCTGTAAGGCGCTGATGTAAATCATGTGATCTCTTGAATAAACAGGTCACTGACAAATTCAGTGATTTTTTGAGAAAATAATGGTTCGGGCCTTCAGGGTGAAACGGAACTGATACCCTAACCGGTTTCTGTGCCAAATGGTCCGATCATCCATGTGAACTATGATTTGAAAAATGTGATGCACGTTGTGATATTGTTTCGAGCATGGATCGGATCCGGATTTGTTATGGCTAAACCCATGTCCCAATGATAACAAGCCTATTGGATCCAGGTTGATCTTAATGAGATTCTACACCAAATCTGATTTCAATTGTAGTGGAACCCATTTATCCAGCCAGATCCATTTAGAAACATGGATTATCCATTCAAACGGCTGTTTAATAACGGCTGAAGTTGCTAGACTGAATATCCTATTTCTCTGTCTTTTACTAGATAAAATAATTAAATAACAAAATAATTTGAGGGCATAATAATTTACCCAACTTCAGTTCAAGTGTTCAGTTGAAGAGGAGTGATTTGGCTCGACCTATTCATGCACGGACACATGGAAGCAACCTGATGATTGGATATTGATTTGGCATTCTCTGCCACCTCAGCGAGTCAGATCACCTCGAGTACCTAGGGCACCTTGGCCAAGACTGAGGTCCGAGTAGCTCGTGATGGTCCAACCTACCGAGGTGATACGTAGCTAACTTCTAGAAGCAAGTCAACTGTCTCCGACCTCTTCGGGATCACGCCGCACATCTATAGGTCTTATCCTTATTCCGCCTGGATCAGATAAACTTGATAAGCTTTATCAACTAGCACGAAGTCCACCTCTTAGTGTGAAACGGACTCCTACCAGCACAGGCTGAAGATCTTAGAGGTGTTTCGTAAGACCTATGGTAGTTCATCTATATAATGGCATCAATCCCAACGACATAAGGTACATGTGATTTATTGCTCACTACCCTACTACCATACAAACTTTCAGCTCACACTACCGAATACTAACTTAAGCATTGGAGCACCCACACTAGGTAAGCCACCCTGGGTCCTCTGAGCCTTCCTCTTTTGTAGTTCGACCGACCAACAAAGCAGACTGACATCCGAGCTGCCCTCCAACTAAGAGCATCCAGATTGCGCACCATCATCAACCATTAAGAAACACAAAACCTTAAAAATTATTCACTTAAAGACAAAACAATAAGCTTTTCAATTCAGCCACTTCAGATGTTATCAAATAGCCCCCTAATAAACATAGAACAAAGGGGATATGAAATCTAACTGCATCAATTACTTGTCATACCAGTGCTCCTTGGATTGCAATTACATAAAGCATCCTAACTTTACCCGTATGGTTACATATAGGCCTCATTCCCTTTCCACGAAATTACATATTTGGGTAAGTGTATTTACCCATGTTCTTTTATTTCTCCCATACTTATCATGGGGCGCCAATATGATCTCAGTAAGTGATACTTGGGAAAAATAATTTTTCATAGACCCTACACAAATCTGGAAAAAAATATGGATTTTCTTGATGAGTGGATATGCTCTCAAAATCCAAAAAATGGCTCAACCCAAACCCTGTTGGGTCGGGCCATTCAAATTTTAACAAATGCTCAACCCAACCTGATGCAGCTGGTTGCACCCATTATAGTGAGTTGCAATAAAAACAAGGAAGTACTTTGCTTTTACAGCTTGCAATTCAATGTTGGAGCTTAAACTCTTATGAGAGAACAACAAATAGATCATAAAGTTATGTGCTATTTGATAGGCAAAATATACGATGCACAAACTGTACAATGAAGCAGAAAAGTGAATCAGTGATAAAGTGCAACATCACAATTGATATCTTTAGGAAAATTATTAGGCTGTAAAGTTTTTACAATATAAAGGTACATCAATTGAAAAGTGAAACGATCGATTTAAACGTAGTGAACCATTAAAGTGAAAAAATATAACCCGTGCATGTAAAAAATTACATCGATAATATGCTGTAAAATTTACCCCAGTTCTCATTTATACTGAAATCAAAGGCAGCCTTATTACATTTTACAAAACATAAATCAATGAAAAGGTAAATAGACATGGGAACTTGCTTTGCAACTTCGGATTGCCTTTCCTGCACTTCCTTGCCATGCCAACACGGCCTGCTACAGTGTGAGCGGCATGACAAAGTCGGTCGTGGCGTCATGCCGGCTGGGCACAGCCTACATTACACCTATAGAGGCTGGAAGCCTGGAAGCCTGGGACACTGGCCCAAAGAGTCCAAAGAAGGCTATGGCTCAAGTGATTACATGAGGTTGGGTCCACCAACTGAATCAGTTGCCTCCAGGGTTAGCCCAAAATTGAAGATAATTGCTTCTTTGATTCACAAAAGGGTCATATGGTCTTAGGGCCCAAATTTGATATAGCCTAGCCTAGCGAGGGTCATATGGTCCTAGGGCCCAAATGCAAGACTAAAAAGAGTCACATGGTCCTAGGGCCCAAATTTGATATAGCCTAGCCTAGCGAGGGTCATATGGTCCTAGGGTCCAAATGCAAGACTAAAAAGAGTCACATGGTCCTAGGGCCCAAATTTGATATAGCCTAGCCTAGCTAGCTAAACTGGTGTCTGTGGTTGAGCCTGCCTTGCTCCATGTGTAGTCACCTTTTCTCGAGAGTAGGAGTGTTGCTTTTTGTGGCATTCTCCTCCCACGGAGGATGTTGGTTCTCTCCAGTACCAGCTTGTCAAGAGTCAAGACAATGGGCATTTGGCTTATATGCACATGCATTGAATGGCTTTATGTGAATCCTTGTATGCACATGTATAGTACAGTTCTGGGGTGTCTGTGTGCCATGTTTATCAAGAGAGCTTTCTACTATGTGTAGCTAAGGGTGCCCAGACTCTAGATACTGATTGATTGATGTTTAATTGTTTCGAATTTTATGTACTTGGACTACCAATTGATGCAAACTTAGCAATAAAAGGACTTGTTTACAGAAATAAGGCAGAGAGCTTAACAACCATTAATCAATTTATATGACTGAACTAGAAAAATAGGATGCAATTAATGACATAAAAAAAAAACATTTTGTTGCCAACTAGGGTTTACCGGATTGATGACATCACAGGTTGACCCGACCCCTTAATCCAGATGGTTGAATCACTGACCCATTGATCCAGAGGGGAAAATGGTTCCATCATTTTTAAAGGAAAAAAAAGAGCATTATTTTAAGATAACACTACATAGTTTCTTGCATTGCTTATGGCATGGCTGTGAGAGAGAGGGTGGGAAAATATTCCCATGAACCATTTGAGAGAGATAAGCCTTTATACTTAAACCATCACTCTAAAACAAGCAATCCAAGTAATAAGCCTTGAACCTTCAAGCATGGGAGAGAGAAGCAGCAGCCAGGAACAAAGACAAGGAACTCAATCAAACCCTTGTTGACTGAGTAAAGGGTGGAAGTGGCAACAGAATCATTCAAAGGCAGCTGTAGAAAGAGGAATAAAGTAGCAACATATTAAGGTAGGTAGGTATAACTGGAGATAGAAGTAAGAATCAGTCTACAAAAGCTCACCGTTTTCCTTTTAAAATATAGATTGATGTTATTTTAATTTTATCTAAAGATGATAAACAATTGCATCAGTCTGCTTCAATTTAGTCTTGTTAATTGTTTTATTTATTCCTTAATTTCGAATACTTGGTTTTCAATTGATTAATGTCTATTTATCGTTGATTCTTACTGCTACTTCTTTTAATTTCTAATCAACAATAAATTTAACAAATCATATTTTCTTTCCACAACCAAGATCGGAAAGCAACCTATGTGGTTCATCATTTTGCCTAAACCTCTTATGTACCGTACCACTCACTGTTTACAGAACATGAGCAATTAAGGGCTTAAGCACAGAACTGAAATCCAAGTATTGCTCTAATGCTCTCAATCAAGATGGATTGATTCAATTTTCTGCATGGGCCCAATCCAATCATCAGACTATTAGCATGACCCACYGTTTGTCCAGCTTGGCTTAATTTGTTTTACTCTACTTTTAGTTCTAGTTCTAGATGGCCCAATTTGCATTTGAGTTCTTTTTGTTTTTATAACTTTTTCTTGTTCCATACGTGGAATCCAATGAAATTTCTATGTTTCTTTTATCAGAAGAATCCAAGGGAGCTTTTGTCCTTCAAGAAAAGTGAATTTTATTTTCCAAAGCATGTTTTTTGTTTATGCAATGGTTCTTTACAAACGAATCTTCCCTTGCAATTGCCAATTTTCAATTAGTCAATGTTAAAACCTACTGATGAAGGAAAATTTGGCCCGACCTCGCAATCGCCCGACACGTGGCAAAGGCAAGCAACTCGGGACAGTAGAGCGCCCGAAGCGAACATCGGAAGCAAGTCCAAGCTCACTAGCGAGCCCGAACTCTAGACCGCTCTACTGAGTCCGAGCTCCCTACCAAGAGTCCGAGCTCCCTACTAGGAACCCGAGCTCCCTGTTAAGAGCGAGCTCCCTAAATAAGAACCCGAGCTCCCTACTGGGAGCCCGAGCTCCCTATTAAGAGCAAGCTCCCTACTGAGAGCCCGAGCTCCCTGCAAAGAGCACGAACTCTACTGGGCCCCAAGCCTCACAAAGCTGACCCGAGCTGGCCCATGGCAGCTCGGAACACTCCAAACCGAACTCAAGACACCTCGCTCGCCACTCCAACACTTCGCTTCCGAAACACTAGGCTGACCAAACGTACCCGACACCAAG